TCAGGAACACAAAGAGGGCCATCAATAAAACCTGGACTTCCGCAGGGCAGATTTCAGCGTACTCAAAAGACTGGTTCAGAGGGTACCTTGGGAAACAGCCCTTGAAAATAAAGGAGTCCAGGAGGGATGGACATGCTTCAAGAAGGAAGTCTTGAATGCACACAAGCAGGTAGTCCCAGTTTGCCAAAAGGTGAGCCGGCAGGGAGGATGTTCAGCCTGGCTGAACAGGGAGATTTTGAAGCAAATTAAGGGAAAAAAGAGAGCTTACTGGCTACTGAAAAAAGGGCTGGCTACTCACGAAGAATTTAGGAATATAGTTAGGTCATGTAGAAAGAAAATTAGAGAGACAAAGGTACAGTTTGAACTCAGTCTAGCCACTTCTGTTAGGGATAACAGGAAGTGCTTCTACAAATACATCATTAACAAAAGGAGGGGCAAGGAAAACCTCCATTCTTTGTTGGACATGGGGGGGAACATAGTCACCAAAGATGAGGAAAAGACTGAGATACTTAACATCTTCTTTGCCTCAGTTTTCAACAGTAAGACAGGCTGTCCTCAGGGCAACGGGCCTCTGGAACTGGTAGACAGAGACAGGAAGCCGAATAGCCTCCCTGTAATCCAGGAGGAAACAGTTAGCAACCTTCTGAGCCACTTGGATCCACACAAGTCTATGGGAATGGATGGGATCCACCCAAGGGTGATGAGGGAGCTGGTGGAAGAGCTCACCAAGCCGCTTTCCATCATTTACCAACAGTCCTGGCTCACTGGGGAGGTCCCAGATGATTGGAAGTTGGCAAATGTCATGCCAATCCACACAAAGGGCTGCAAGGAGGACTCAGGGAACTACAGGCTTGTCAACTTGACCTCAGTGCCTGGCAAGGTTATGGAGCAGATCATCCCGAGTGCAATCACACAGCAGCTACAGGATGGACAAGGGATCAGAGCCAGCCAGCTCAGGTTTAGGAGGGGCAGGTCCTGTCTGACCAACTTGATCTCCTTTTATGATCATGTGACACAACTGGTGGATGAGGGGAAGGCTGTGGATGTGATCTATCTGGACTTCAGCAAAGCCTTTGACACTGTCTCCCATAATATACTCCTGAAAAAGCTGTCAGCCCATGGCTTGGACAGGGGCACTCTGTGCTGGGTTAAGAACTGGCTGGAGGGCCGGGCCCAGAGAGTGCTGGTGAATGGGGCTGCATCCAGCTGGCAGCCGGTCACCAGTGGTGTTCCCCAGGGATCAGTGCTGGGCCCAGTCCTGTTTAACATCTTTATCGATGATTTAGATGAGGGGATGGAGTCCATTATTACCAAATTTGCAGATGACACCAAGCTGGGAGGGAGTGTCAATCAGCTGGAAGGTAGAAGGGCTCTGCAGAGGGACTTGGACAGATTGGAGAGTTGAGCTAATTCTAATGGGATGAGGTTCAACAAGGCCAAGTGCCGGGTCCTGCACTTTGGCCACAACAACCCCCTGCAGTGCTACAGGCTGGGCATAGAGTGGCTGGAGAGCAGCCAGGCAGAAAGGGACCTGGGAGTTTGGACTGACAGGAAGCTGAACATGAGCCAGCAGTGTGCCCAGGTGGCCAAGAAGGCCAATGGCATCCTGGTCTGTATCAAGAACAGGGTGGCCAGCAGGAGCAGGGAAGTGATCCTTCCCCTGTACTCAGTACTGATGAGGCCACAGGTCACCGGCACTGTGTCCAGTTCTGGGCCCCTCAGTTCAGGAAGGATTTTGAGGTGCTGGAGCAGGTTCAGAGAAGAGCAACGAGGCTGGTGAAGGGACTCGAGCACAAGTCCTATGAGGAGCAGCGGAGGGAGCTGGGGTTGTTTAGCCTGGGGAGGAGGAGGCTCAGGGGAGACCTCATCACTGTCTACAACTACCTGACAGGAGGTGGTAGCCAGGTGGGGGTTGGTCTCTTCTCCCAGGCAATCAGCAGTCAGACGGGAGGGCATGATCTTAATCTCAGCCAGGGGAGGTTTAGGTTGGATATTAGGAAGAAATTTTTTACAGAGAGAGTAATCAGACACTGGAATGGGCTGCCCAGGGAGGTGGTGGATTCACTGTCCCTGGAGGTTTTCAAAATGAGACTGGATGTGGCACTGAGTGCCGTAGTCTAGTAACCATGGCAGTGTTGGATCAAGGGCTAAACTTGATGATCTCAGAGGTCTTTTCCAACCCAGTTGATTCTATGATTCTATGATTCTAGGATTAAATTCAGGTTGACTAAATCTCACTTTCCCAATTCTTTGAGAAAGCATAGCCATTCTGCTGGTCACATCTGGGCAGAGCCTGTGACTCATGAGTCCCATTCAGACCACATACACGCTTTGCACAGTGTGATGGGGATTTAAGCTTCCATGTATACAGCTAAACTCATACAAGTTCTGTCAGTTTGCATTTTTGTGTTCATAGCCTGCCACTTAGATCAAGTCACTTTTTTTTTGCAACCTTCCCCTGCTTCTTCTGCACCTTTTGCATTAATCATAGAATCATAGAATCATTAAAGTTGGAAAAGACCTCTAAGGTCATCAAGTCCAACCTTTGACTGAATACCACTATACTGGCTAAACCATAGCACTAAGTGCCATGACCAGATATTTCTTGAAAACTTCCAGGGATGATGAGTCCACTATCTCCCTGGGCAACCCGTTCCAATGCTTGGCAACCCTTTCAGTAAAGAAATTCGTCCTGATGTTCATGCTGAACCTTTCCTGGCACAGTTTGAGGCCATTTCCTCTTGCCCTGTCACTAGTTGCCTGGGAGAAGAGACCAACCTCCACCTGGCTACAGCATCCTTTCATTTAGTTGTAGAGAATGATAAGCTCTCCTGTGATTCGTTTTCTCCAGGCTAAACAACACCAGCTCCATCATTTGCTCTTCATAGGACTTGTGCTCCAAAACTTTCATCAGCTTCGTTGCCCTTCTCTGGACTTTCTCCAGCACCTCCATGTCTTTCTTGTAGTGAGTGGCCAAGAACTGAACACAGTGCTCCAGATGCAGCCTCACCAGTGCTGCGTGCAGAGAGATGATCACTGTCTGAGTCATGCTGGCCACACTATTTTTGATACAGGCCAGGATGTCATTGGCCTTCTTGGCCACCTGGGCACACTGATGGGTCGTGTTCAGCCAGCTGTTGAACAGCACCCCCAGGCCCTTCTCTACCAGGCAGCTTTCCAGTCACTCTTCCCCCAACATGTATCACTGCATGGCGTGGGAGTTAATCTTTCCTTTCTAGTTGCCTGCAGTCAGTTCTTGTATACCTATCATCTCTCATTCACTTGGAAGATACTGGGTCTTTGGGCAGCCTATGGTGCCATACCACATTGCCTGCATGTTACATTTTTTGTTCTAATGACCATGTTTTCTCCTTTTTTGCCCCTCATTCCTGGAGGAGTTCTCCGTAATAAGAGACAAATTCTGCTTCACCAGCTTCTTTCAGGCTTTGCTGGCTGGAAAAATTGTGACGGAAGTGTTTTCATGGTCACTGGCATGTGCCGTTTTGCTGCAACTGGAAGGTTGTGCAAATCCCGTGAGAATTGGCCTGCCAGGGGGAGTGTCCCCAGCAGGGGCTCCGTGCCCCCTCTCACCCAAAGTTGCAACAATTCCGGTTTTTGTTCTTGCTGGATTGTCACCAAATGCTGAGATGCAAATTCCTCTGCAAATAAAATTACTTTCTTGGCTCAGTTCTCCTTCCAATTGTTTTCCTTCCAGTGATGCCTACAGTGACAATGGTTAGGTTGCAGCCCATTGCACTGACCAGCAGAGTCTCTCTGTGTCTGTGTGCTCATTCATCTGTTTGTAGCTGCCCATTGTCTTTTGTCTTATGATCACTTTGAAGGGTGGAACTATGTTTTCCCTTTGTCCTTAGACCTATGGGACTTTGGTTGAAAAACAGGCATCTTATGCCCTACAGTAACATAAGCAAGAAACAATAAGATGTTTCTTTCAGTAAGGGGACAAATGTTGAGTCCTTACTCAGGCAAACTCCCATTATAGTGCAGCTGAATGCTGTTCGAGTAGAAAAACAGGAAGAAGCTAAAGATTTGGTTCAAGAGAAAATAAATAAAAATGCACACAGCCTTCTGCATATTGACAAGCATGCAATCTGCCCACTGGCATAATGAAGAGACTTTTCCCAGCACATTGGAAGCAGAAGTCAGACACAGACATGGTCTGCTTACGGGGAGTAAGTGGAAAAGGAACCATATCATTTTGGTTGTGGTTTGCCCAAGACGGATACCAGGGCTGTATGTCCTGATGCATCTTCTGCACAGTCACATGGTGAAACAGGCTGTCAGTCTTCTAGGTTCTCAGGAACAGAAAATGACAGTGATGAGAGTATGTCAATCCTTAAAAATGAAATGAGCAGTGGAGTGGCATTCCAGCCTTTGCCCAAAATGCCTATGGGAAATACTCACTGGCCTGTGCCACCCCTTACACTGTGCCTGGGCTTTGTCCATGAGGGACTAGTTGATTTGGGGAAGCTGTGTCAGGGCATGTGCTAAAAGTTAACATTACAGATTGTTTAGCTCTTGAGCCCATTCAAAAGAAAAATGCAAGTTTGCAGGCAAGAAAACATAAAAAACCCCCTATAGATAAGAGCCTGGATAAATGGATTAATCAAATGACTAATTTTAAAATTCACAGTCCAAGTGAGTCCCCTTCCCCCATGTCCAAGATAGGAATGCTGCTCTTCTAGGTGTTACATAAACCAGTAGTATTGGATGTCCCTAGTACATGACGGCTGACAGTCTGATTATATCAAATCCTTTAAAAAAGGGATAAGAAGTAAAGACATTAATGAGAAATTTTGAAGTAAACCCTATTATGCTTATTTTGAGTATAAAGGCATTCAAATCCAATCTTTTTTGAGAAACTTTTCAAGAATAAATGGATATCTCATTAGATACATTTGTACATTCTTTTTCAAGAACAGCTAAGACTAAAAGAACTGTGGCATTATTACTCTGAGGAAGCCATTCTGTAATTTTGGAGTCTCAGACTTATTAAGAGATGTCACAAATCAGAAATTTCAATGACTTGACAATGCAGATTATTTTCCTTCAAGTTTACTCTGAAAGTGTTGCTTTTTTTCCATATATCCCTGAAACAGTCAATTCGGTACAAATTCAGTGACTGGCAAAGTTAATACAGTACTGGCAAGGTCAGCATAATTCATCCTTAAGTATTGATCAGTAGCATAGTTATAAAGGAAAGAATTTGCTTTCAGTGTTTGCAAGTAGAAAGAAACTTAACAAGTTGGACTTAATGCAAGTTTACCAGAAGGTGGAGCTGGATAGTAAATCTAAACAATAGGTTGAAATGAATACATTCCAAGGATTATTCCAGTACAGAAATATGAATGTAAATGATGTACCAGTAGTTTCCATGCACTGCAGTTCAGATCCTGCAACTGCTAAAAGTTGGCACCTATTATTTGGGCAGAACTCAAATGATCAGAGTAACCACTAAAGTCTTCATTAATAATACAGTGGTAATAGGGAAAAACACTGCAGAAGTACGGTTTGAAAATAAAGAAAATGAAATCCTAGTTTTAACTCCAATCCTCTGAAGTGTTGAAGTATATGCAAGTACAGGTGAAGAGCATGAAGTCTTAATCTGAGGCTGCAGGGGAAAATAAACTTCAGATAATAAAACACGTGTCAAGATAAGCAGTTTTATCAGAGCTATTGTGGGCTATATCTTAAAATTATATCTCAGTGTATTTGACATTTCCATACTCCTATCCCTTGTAGGTTGCTATATTTCCAAATAAATATTTGGGCAAGTGAGGCAGACATTTAAGTTCAACTTTTTGTCCCAATTCATGAAAAATATCCTTTTAAGAGCATCCTTCAGTTTGGATGGACAGACTGCCTTTGCTGGACATTCCCATAGACTATTTGTAAAACCGTCCTCTGAGGGAAGATGTTCTTAAAACTGACTGGTGACTGGAGAGCCTCAAATCCAACAGCACCTGGTCAACCTGCCAAGCATCCAGCTGCTCTCCAGCTGATCCCATGGCTTCTGCAGGGTATGGTGGCACAGCGTAGACCTCAGCTTTCATCTGGATCAGATGGCTTCTCAGAGCAATTGCAAAGGTCAGGACGAAAACATATTGAACTCTTGGGTTCGTCAGTGAAACACTGTTCGAACAGGTTTGAGGGACAGGTGCATGTTCTGGCTTCCTCCTTTTGGAAAGATAACCAGGCACCGTTGTCCAGTTGCAGGGCAGCATGATGTGCCCCTTTGGTGGTGATCTTTGCAGTGATGAGTATTACAATGCCAAAAGAACTTCCAAAGCTAATAGGTAAACACCATCAACCACAGATGAAGCCCAAAGTGAGAAGGACTGCAAGTGTCCTCACAGTGGTCCTATACTCTTCTTCAGCCCATCTACAGATCATGATGGAAGCCAGTTTTGGTCAGGAGATGTCTGACAAGTAATGAAGAATTGGCACCAGCCTCAAGGCCCACATTCACTCTGTTCCAGTTGCAGGGAATCTCAGAATAAAGTGCTGTGAAAACCTGGCAAAGGCTGTTTGCAGAGGTTGTCCAGGAAAATCATTTTCCACAGGCAGAAAGAATATGGTAAACCTTTTCAGTTGAAGAAATAATAAATACAGAGCTCCATTGTGTTCCATCATAACTGACACAAGGTATGATTAATGATTAATGCCAGCCCAGTAAAGCCCTCTTAAATATGCCTCCCAAAGAAGGAAGAAGGTGTAGGGTTTAGGTCTTTAGCTGAGGTATCTGAATTAATTCAAATATGATTGTATCTCACATGCTTGGTCTTAATTGTCTCCTCCTGAAAATTCAATACCTTCATTCATGCTCCTGGGCTCCAGGGATTCCAGAGCACCACACTGTCCCCACTGAAAGGAAATGAAAAATCGGCTGATGCTAACCAGACCCCTTCAGCAACTTTACCCATTTAAGTGCTGTATCCTGCAGAGTGATTAATGATTTTTTTCCTTTTACATCTAACAGCAAAGAAAGAAGGAATGAAAGAGCGTGTACTGTCACTCACCTTCTAGCCAATAGACTACAAAGGCATAGTTTGCCAGGATATTCACTTTCCTCCTGTGTGTGATTTATTTTTCGTGTGTATCTGACATTGCCTCTTCCTTGGATATGGCTGGAGCCTGCAGCATCTTATCAGCAAAAGGTTTGGCTCCGTCTAGTATGTGACTAGCATTCTGCTTTCTTTGGGCCTTTTTAAAACTGCAACCTGAACCTGTTCACCAGCTCTTTATTAACATGTGTTTTATGGTACAGGTGTAATAATTAATCCAAATGGTTAGCAGATGTGGCTGTCTATCTCTGGGCATATCAGTTCCTACACACCACCTCTTAATCAAGCAGTGCCCAAGCAATGCCAAAATAAATGAAAGAAAATAAATTCCACCAAGATATTTATGAGGGCCACCTGGATAGGGAAATACCTTGGCCTTTGCCTGTCCCCTGCTCCAGGTGGCTACAAAAGGCTGAAGTTCCTTTATAAATACAACTCAAATCAATCTTGCAGGGAGCTGAAAATGAAAAGCTGTGCTTGGCTCCCTAGTTTAACAATAATGAAATTTTTTACATGTGCTCTAAGGAAGCCTTCCCACTTCACCTTATTTATTTGAAATTTCCCTTTTTTTTAACAGTGCCAGCACCTGATGGGCTTCACATAATTCAGGTTGTTGGTTCTTGCCTCTGTTTCTGGCAAGCCAAAACTAAGGATCTTCTTTGTGTTATCAGCTGGACTCCGGGTGTTGCTTTGCAAATCACAAAGGCTGATGCCAGATTTTTACACTCCTGCCATTTCCACATTTCTTTTTACAGTTATTTATAGTCTTCATATGGGTAATTCCTGGCAGATTTTCGTCACATTCAGCTTCTGCTGGGACAAAAGGCTTTGCCTGTAAAGGAGTGGTTGTTCTAGCCTGCCACAGGGGGAGCTCGTCCCTGGTGGAAGCTGCAGCCTCATCCTTCCTACAGCATCATGGCAAAACGCACCTCCCACCACATGGGAAACTTCCACACATCTGCTGCATCACATCCAGATGCTCCACTCCAACAACCACCCTGAGAACACCACGGATAAAAACCCAGGTATCTTGGGCTGCATTGAAAGAAGTGTGGCCAGCAGGCTGAGGGAGATGATTCTGCCCCTCTAATCTGCTTTTGTGAGAGCCTACCTGGAATACTTCATCCAGCTCTGGGGTCCCCAGCACAGCAAAGACATGGACCTGCTGGAAGGAGTCCAGAGGGGGGGTCACAAAGATGATCAGAGAGCTGGTGTCCCTGCCATTACAGGGGGGTTGGAACTAGATGATCTTTAAGGTCCTTTCCAACCCCAACCATTCCACGATTCCCTGAGGTGATGTGGTGGGTTAACCCCAGATGGACATCATGTGCTCTCCAAAGCCACTCTGTCACTTCCCTCCTCAGCCACACAGGGGACATAAAATACCATGAAGGGTTCATAGACTGAGATAAGGACAGGGAGAGACCACTCACCGATTATTGTCACAGGGAAAAAAACACTTGATTGCGGGAGGTTAGTTTGATTTACTACCAACCACATAAGAGTAGGATAACAAGAAATAAAACAAGTTCTTAAAAACACCTTCTCCCTACCCCTTCCTTCTTTCTGGACTTGGTTTTACTTCTGATTTTCTCTATCTCCTCCCCACCAGGGGCTCAGAAAGATGGGGAATAGGGGCTGAGATCAATGAATCATAGAATGGTTGCAGTTGGAAAGGATCTTAAAGATCATCTAGTTCCAATGTCCCTGTCGTGATCAGGGACACCTTTCACTAGACCAGGTTACTCAGAGCCCCATCCAGCCTGGTCTTGAACGCTTCCAGGGATAGGGAGTTCCCAACCTCTGTGGGCAGGTCAGTTCATCACACTTTGTTCTCTGCTGCTCCCCCCTCAGGGTGAGGACTCCTCACACTCTTCCCCTGCTCCAGTGTGGTGTCACTTTCATGGAAGACAGTCTTTCACAAACTTCTCCTTTGTGAATCCTCCCTCATGGACTGCTCCAGCATGGGTCCCTTCCATGGGGTGCAGTCCTTCAGGAACAAATTGCTCCAGTGTGGGTCCTGCATGAGGTCACAAGTCCTACCAGCAACCCAGGTCCGGTGTGGGCTTCTCTCTCCATGGTGCCACAGGTCCTGCCAGGAGCTGGCTCCAGCATGGGCTTCCCCTGTGGTCACAGCCTTCAGGCATTCACTTGCTCTGTTGTAGGGTCCTCCGCAGACTGTGGGTGGATCTCTGCTTTGCTGTGGATCTCCATGGGCTGCAGGGGGACAATTGCCTCACCATGGTCTTCACCACGGGCCTCAGGGAAATCTCTGATGCCTGGAGAATCTCCTCCACCTCCTTCTTCACTGACCTCGGAATCTGCAGAGCTGTTTCTTTCACGTATTCTCAGTCCTCTCATGCAATCACTGTCATGCAGAGCTTTTTCCCCTGTTGAAGTACTTTATCCCAGAGATGCTACCACTATTGCTGGTGGGTTTGGATTTGGCCAGTGGCAGGTCTATACTGGGGCTTCTATTGGACAGGGGCGAAGCTTCTGGCAGTTTCTCACAGAACCAGCTCTATAGCCCCGCCCTGTTGCCAAAACCTTGCCATGCAAATCTAGTTCATGTGGGCAGGAGTTTTGCCCTAAAAGGGTTGGAAAATAAAGTTTATGAATGGGGACCGAATACTCCTTACATCCATGGCCATTGGATTCTCAGTGAATGAGAAGCAGTTAATTCTGGGAAAAAGCTGTGCATGACAGGAGAAATCAGCTGACATCCTTATTTATAGCTATAAATATATTTTATCCACATAACAAAAAATGCAGTTATCAGTGCACTAGTTCCATCACAGGCACTGCTTAACGCTTAACAACTATGATGCTAGACTACATAGGTAAACTGATGTGCCAAATATAATATATAAATAAATTAAAGCTGATAATGGGCATGTACCTTACTTTTTTAACCTGTAAGCTCATTTCCTAATCAAAAAACACAGGAAAAGTTTCCTTTAGGTTGTTGTTTATCTATTTGGCAAGTTTTGTCTAATAAGCCTGTATATTGCCTGCTGCCACAGATGAAAAAACTGAACAGGTGGATCATTGGAGTGAAGCTTAATGCACTGATTATCCTGGTACAGTTTAAATATTTATTGAAAACTGACATTTAAACACAAGGGGAATCAAAACCTTTTCCAGTCTGAACTATTACTGCTTAAATTTCCCCACTATTCAGTCATGCTAGAGAGAAATTACCGAACAAAACCAAGCACATGATTCATGGTTAAATCTGTGAGACCTATTAGCTATCAGCTTTCCATTAACCAGTCTGAAACTCTATGCCAAGACGTGTCACAGTCTGCTTAGAACAGCAGTGGAGCCAGCCTCAACCAAATGGCAGCAGCAGCTAAAAACTCCTAAACTATGCTGATTTCGTAACACATCTCCCCATTTTCATCCCCGCTACGCAAGGTCTGAACATTGGAATGAATTGTCCTTGATAATACGGAGATGCCTAATAGCCCTTGGAGTCTGGAGTCTCCTCTTTTCTTCTTTCAGAGGTTTTGGAATACAGATGTGCACAGAAGTGTGTTAAATGGATTATGCTTCCATTATTTTAACTTGTTTATTTGCAACATGGGAACAGCATGAAGTAAACACCTGGGAAGTTTCAACTGGAAAAATTCAGATGTTCTTCGATTATAAAGGCACAAAAATAGCATCTTTTTAGAACAAGGACATAAAAAAAAGTTCAGAAAAGCCATATGTTGTGTAATTTGAAAACTGACATTTTTCTTGTGGCTTCCAAAAATATCCACTTCTGCACCGAGACTAATGCCTGTTACAGTTTAGCCAAAACAGGGTCAAAGCAGGTGGTTTAAGATTAAAGTCCCATATCAAATTAACTATGATATTTGATATCTGGTATTTACTCTTCAGGGCAAGTTGAATAAGAGCCCTTATTATACACAACAGATTGGAGTAAATAAAAAGTGTGAGACAAACAGAACATCCACTCTCTGTAATGAGGCTCTCCTTCAAGGGAAGGAAAAGAGAAGGAAGACCAGCGGTCAGATGAAATACTTTAGATGTGAAGGAAGCATGTGTCTGGCAGCTTCAGACACGCACATGAAAAGTAGACTGTTGGAACTAAAGGGTTTCTCCATATGTTGAACTCTGAGTCTCCCATTTCTTCCAGAAATGATTAGCTAAGGATATTTTCCACTTTTCAGTCAAAGAGAAAACAAAATGCTGCAGGGAGATGTTAGATGTTCCACTGGGAAATGTACATCTTCTTATCTCTCTCTATGAGCATCTCTTCCAATCTTTCTCCTCCACCTGCCCTGGACCCTAAGCCAAGTTTCACAGGACTTATAGTTTCCTGTGTCTTCCTGTTGATCATTTATAATTACTGGCATGAGATTGGCTTTTTTTTTTTTCTCCAGTTCTGTGCAACATCCTCAGGAACCTAAGATTTATTTTAAAGCTATGTCAGTGGTTCAGAAAAATCCTAAGCCAATTATTTTAAAACTCCTGACTGCAGTGGATATTTGTTCTTTGGTATCCTAAGAACAAAACATGTATGTTGGAGATAAGACATATGGCACAAAAGCAATCTGTGCAGCTCAAACAGGCTCTATTTATCCTGTATCAGTGGTAGTATACACACAAGTTACACAGCTTCATCCAAATTTGTGTCTTCATTCTCTTCACAAAGCTGCCAGTACTGCCTCCTTTGCTTGTTCTTGTACATCTAAGAAAAACAGGAGGATGGCTGAAGATGCAGTTGGTCGCTTTGTGGGTTGTTGTCTGCCCATATTTCTACTCGTTCTTTCCTAGGCTCTGCTTCTGCTGTTTCAGCTCCCTAATCATTAATATATGTGAAATGCACTTTGTAGATATGAACAGAGAAATGATTGCTTCACTAGTCACTGTACTCAATGCCAGTTGTACTTAAATGCCAGTGCAGATATTCCAGATTGTTGAAGCTTTGTGCTGTGCATGAAAGATGGAAATTATGCAAAAAACCTACTTGGCCAAAGGACCACAGTAAAAAGCCTTAAAGATGTGAGGGAGAATTTTGGGTTTTGAGAACAGAGCTGTAAACTCTAGCAATCTCAAAAACTGTAAAATATATACTTATCTGTGTAAAAACTTTCTGACAACATTGCCTATAAAGAGGAAAGTAGCGTGACTGAAATAAGCAGATGCCTGTCTGAAACTGGTAGGAAAAATTCTGGAGGCTGAGGCAAAGCTGCTGGAACCAAAAATTAGTATGTTCAAAGTGGATTATGTAAAATAGGTCTTGTCCAAGCAGTTTGAGATATAGGAGAGATCATGTTCTAAATATAGTGCATAAAGATTAGTATGTCAATAAAATAGTCTTCAGTATGGAATTTCATTTGGTGTCACTATGTGTTTTCATTCAGAAACTGGCATAGTAAAAAATTAATGGAATATATGTTAAATATTTTAGAAATTAAATGATAAATTGGAAAGTGATACTATAAATCTGGAATCTTTGTTAAATAGCTTAGTTTTATCTGGAGCCCTGCATGGGTCAGTTTTCAGAATTAAACGACTTAGTACTAGCATCAATGTCCAGGGGAAAAAATATGCAGTTACTACTGACAAAGACTGAATATGACAACAAAGATTATGGAGTGGGAGAAAAGCAAAAAAAAAGAAGAAAAAATACTGATGCAAACCAGATTGCCTGGTGAAACAGATGCAAGCAACGTATTAGGAAGTTAAGGCAGTCTTCTGAAAGAAAAAAAAAGAAACCAAACCATACAGACAGAATATACTGTATGTGTGCTCTGGAGGGTGCTTGGGACCACAGTGAGTATGCAGCCAAATAGAGGCTCCAGAAAGGATTATAAAGGTGAATTAGAAATGAGAAAATTGAATACAGGTATGGTATTTGGTGACAACGTGGCCATAACATCTATATTCACTGGTGTCCACAATGCAAGCTGGACAGCGAATACGAAAAATCTCATAGGAGAATATGGAGGATAATTAAAAGGCTGGAAAACTTACACCAAAGTAATGACCAGTAAGTAATGACCAGTCTTCGCGAACGAAGAACTGGGGAAGGTCTTTACACCTTCCAGCTTATGCATTGAATTTTTTAGGTGAGACACAGTGTGCGCGGAACTGAGCCCACCCTTTAATCCTAAGGTTCATCTGCCAGTGCCAAGCGAGCTTGGACGGTGGCAGCGAGGTCCTCAGGACGTAGATGGATTGCCTTACAGGGCTAACGCGCTCCATCTGCCCGGGGAGTGGCCCCGACCCGGAATCGAACCCGAGTCTCTGCAGTGACATCGCAGCACCTTTACCCTCTAGACCACCGACTACAAAAGAGCTCAGTCTCTGGAAGAATGTTGTAAAGATGACTATCAGTATCTACCTACACTGAGGTAATTGTTTTGTTTTGTTTGGGGTTTTTGTCTACTGGATAAAGACATCACAGGATCCAATGTCTGGAAATACAAACATGGTGACTTCAGACCAAAAATAAGGCACACATGTTTTTACCAGAGAAGGACAGCTAATCATCAAAGGAACAGATCTGGTGGTTATACAAGGTTCTCTATCACTGGCAATTTGAAAATTAAGATTGACTGTTTCTCTTAAAGATATGTGCCTTACTTCCAAAAGGAAGTAATTCAGGAAAGA